GCAAGGCAGATGCAGAGCAAGGCCCTGGGAGGGAGGAGTGGGACTCGAGAAGGAATGAGGTTTACCAGGCATCTCATCTCTTTAAAAGTGGTTGGTCTGTTAGGAAAAAAAAAAAAAAAACACAACAAAGAAACAGGTATCTTTAAGTGTTCTGGAACAAGGTGGTGTCGTGAAGCAACAGGTCTGTCCCTTGGGTGTTTCTGTGCCTGGCCAGTGTAACTGTAAAACAGTGATTACTATGATGCTTTAATTAATGCCCGTAGGCATGGTTGTCACTTACAAGGAATTGTGTTAACATGAATAATTGATCAGTGAAAACAAGTTAGCGATGTGGCTGGCTGCTGCTTCTGCTGAAGGTGTCGATAAAGCTGCCAGCGGGACCAGGCTTAGGCCAACTCTGTGTTAACGTTTTTCACGGAATTGTACAAGCTTTTTGCAGAAACCTTGTTAATCCTCAAAGGGCTCTGCAGTTGGTAACTAATTCTTTCCAACTCTGTTCTCCGGCAGCAAGGAGGCTCGGAATTCGTTCCGGTGGTTGTGAATCGCGCCGTCCTGCGGTCCATGAGCCGCAGGGACGTCCTGATAAAGCGCTGGCCGAAGCCGTTGCGGTGGCAGTACTACCGCTCCCTGCTGCCGGATGCCTCCATTACCATGTGTCCATCGTGTTTTCAGGTGATGTTTTCATGGGTGGGGAGAAGGCACCGAGAGTTAGTTAAAACAGTTCTAATAATTGAGCACTGGGATCACAAAGTTTGAGAGCAAGAGGCAGAGCCACTCAAGCCCCAGAAGAATGGCAGAAGTACTGATCTATATTTATTTCTTTTTGTGCTGCTTCTCCCAGCTTCTAGCCTGGTCTCGGGGGTGGACATCAGTCAGTAGACACTGACCTGTGGTTCAGTCCTTCTGCTTCTTTCACCTCTGGGAAAAGACCTTCTGAAGTAGCAGTCTAGTTACATCTGGTTACACAGAAACCATGTAATTTTCGTCCTGCAAAAGCAGTTGGCTTATGCCTCTTCTGCAGCACGGACAGTCCTGTCCGTGACATACTTGCTGCTCTGTTTCAGATTGTAGCACTTAAAATTGAAAATCAGAGGACCAGTTTTCCTGCAGCAATCTCAGAGGTTGAAAAATAAGTTGTTTGCATTTTCTTTGGGCTCATCACATGGTAATTTGTCTCTGAATCTGCTTCCAATTTACAGATGTTTCACTCGGAAGACTATGAGCTTCTAGTACTGCAGCATAATTGTTGTCCGTTCTGTCGAAGGAGGATAGACGAGTCAAGTCAATGAAGATCAACTATTTTATATCCCAGCAGAGAGACTTTGCTACTGAATTGACGATACGCTTATTAGATCCTTAGTGTTTTCCTAACAACTGGCTAAGTTAACTTACTCCATTTTGTACATAACACAGTTGAGTTGAAGATATGTAACTATTTTTTAAAGGAAAATGTTTTTATGAATGTCCTCTACACTTTCCAGGCAAGCAGCTGAAGTGTCCCAGCCTTTACAGGAATGTTTTTAGGGTCAAGTTCAGTGATGAAGTAATCATTGTTTTTATTCTGACTTGTGTTAGGGGTGGATTTGGTCTTTAATATGTACCTCTTATTGACAGAGTTTCAAATAAACAGGTCTATTTTCCATTGCTGTTTGTGTCTTGAGAAATTTGGTAGAATTCTTCTGACTTTGTGTCATCTAAGGAAGAATCATGTAAATCAAGGTGCCCAGACATAGATCTCATCAGTCCATTTCTATGTACGTGGTCTTTGTCACACTTGTTTTTTAGACATGTTTATTCTTAGTAAGAGGAAAAGCTGTTAGCCCATTAGATCAAGTGGCATATATTTGTGTATGCAGGAAATACGCCAGGTTAGCAGGCATGAGAACTGGAGCATTTCAGGAGTGATAGTCTGCCAGTGCTTTCCAGCAGATCTCCTGTGCCCAAGATGGTTCTTCATAGTCTGCTGCAAACAAAGTGTTAAGCTGCTGCAGTGATCTTGCTGTCGAGTCGTGGGGTGCTTCCCTGGAGTCCTGGTGCCTTGTGCGGTGTCCTGGAGCTCTGCTGGCCCTTGTGCTCTCTGTTCACCTTCGCTGGGGGCCCTCCAGCCTGGCTGAAGTGGTGCCAACCCGGGACCATGGTGCTGCCCCTGGCAGGGGGCACCTACCTAAAGGGGGATTTGGGCACCAGCAAAAGGCAATCCAGAGCCATGGGAAGCAAGAGATGAGAGGGGAGCTGACGGATCTGCCTCCCACTTCAGCCCCTTGCTTCCCATCCCACCTCTAGTTTTATCAACGGGGGGTGAGCTGATGATGCCGCTGCTGGATCGGAATTCTCCTGGATGCCTGAACTACCCTGGGCAGCTGCCACGAGCATTAGCGCAGGTAGCCAGGGGGCTGGGCTTGAACCGAGAAACGACAGAGCGTTAGACTTCCCCGTAAACTGTGCCCATGTAACTGCAGCTCTTACTGGTGTGATGACATGGTCTGTCACAAGCCTCTCCTCGTTTTCCATGGGAGTCATACTCATTTCTGCCCCGCTGCTGGCAGCGGCTGCCGGGTGCCGCTCGAGCAGCTGCCCTGCGCACGGTGGCACTTCTGCGCGGCGATGGCTCCGTGCCTGCCGGAGCTGCGCTTGCAAGTGATGCTCCAAAATGGTATGACAGGGCTTCTGAGCCCTTCAATGACTTCTGATCAAATTTGCGTAATTTACAACTTTAAAAACATTCTGTTCTAATTACCACTCGTCTGCTTTCTGACTCATATATCACTGTTTGCAATAAAGACTCTGCGATTGACATTGATAAACAATTCTGTTTGATATGTGAGCCAAAATAGAATCAGCTCATTCTCCCAGAACTGTCCTGGCTTTGGAAAGCCAGCAG